CCCCAAAACCCCAAAACCCCAAAACCCCACGATAAAGGGAGGCTTTGAGAAAAGATAAATATTAAATGAGTCTGGTGGTTAATAGATGGCTGGACCAGTACCCGATTTTGGGTTATGAGGAAGTGGATGTGTGGCTGGGGTGTTTCTTCTCAGGGTGAACATTTGGGTTGCTACTGAGGTATTATGGACAGTAAGGTCTTTGGGTGATGAGGGAGCTGAGTTTGGATAGGACTGGGACAGCGATAAAGGAACTGAAGGAGATAGACCTTGAGAGAGATGATTTATATAGCTTATTTGCACATTTAGATTTGAGGAGTAGTGTTTCGGGCAAGTCATTATTTAGAACCAATTCCTGTAAAGTTGCAAGGAGTTGCAATAACTGCTTCTACAATGAAAGAGAACAAATTTGTCCAAAAAGGTAAAAATATTTCCAACCAATCATTTTGCTATAGAAGCACTAAAGAATATTCCACCAAAGCTTTTGGCTGGAAGATATCCTAGTGAGGAAACTCCTGCAGTTCCCAGAGAAATTGCTAAATTTTACAACGAGAGGGATAATTCACTATATGGGTCAGGACAAGTCAGAATGAGCATGAATGATTTTTACTTGGTTTCCTCAGAGAAAACTCAGTATAATATTTCCCTCATCTTTAGACCAAAAATATATGTAAAAAATAATGAAGGAGAATATGTTAATCTTAGATATCTCAAAGGTATTCAAGTAAAATAACACTATTTAGCAAATGATGAAGACTACTACAAAAGTGTTATAAGAAAGTCTCCGACTTATAGCATTCTTGAGAAATCTCAATTTGAACAAGTGAGGAGGGTTCTTGTAGAAGGAGAGATAATCACTCTTGGAGGATATCTACACTACAATTATAAAGAAGATGAGTTCCAGATCAGTCACCTCATATCAGTAGCGGCTGGATATGCTGATAAAATGTTTAAGAATGGCTTAAAACTATACAATGGGTAAGACCAATGCTTTAATATAATGTAGGAGAAAGAAAGAGATTTTAAAATATGTAGCCTTTTTAACAAATATATTCTAGATTGGCATCTTTGCAGGAATTTCAATTTTGTTCTTTTATTTGGGGTATGAGTCGATTCTTGAATAAATTATAGCTATCAAAGAAGTGAGATTTTCAGTAATTTTAGGCCAATATACATTAATCACAGCTCAGAGATGCCAAGAGGAATTAGCAGAAAATGGTCCAATTGAAGGTTTTTAACTTATTCTTATTAAATTTAGATGGAGGATGTACAAATTGCATGTACTACAGAGCTACAGTAATTTTCCTCCCATGCTATCACATCAAAGTCTGCGAAATGTGAAGCAGAACGATTTCAACTTGTCCTACATGTAGAGGTGGCCCTGACTATACAACCACTGGGAAAATCTTTACCACTTCCATAGACTAACCCTATTCCTCCACTAAACATTCACAATCACCTCAAAACCCCTTCATCAAATTTATTCTCCAAAATTTATACTTCAAATCTTCACTTCAAACCCGGGGTTTTGGGGTTTTGGGGTTTTGGGGTTTTGGGG